TGTGTGTGTGTGTGTGTGTGTGTGTCAATCTCTTCCCGTTGGTTTTTGTCTCTGTGTGTGTGTGTGCGCGCACGCGCGCGTGTCCCTCCCCGACCCCCAACAAGGACTAAGAAGCATTGAGAACTGGGCTTTTTCCTACAGATGCAGAATGCCCTCTTCAAAGTGGGAGTCTGTGTACTTCTTCCAAAGATCCTGCCTTTGCTCTGAGCAGTTTCAAAGTGTTCACTGTGAACTCATATTCAGACTCTAGCATTTTCTTCTGAATATCCTCACTGGTGATAAATCTTTGGCCTTTGAAAGTGGATGTGATTTTTGGAAACCATTGCCAGTCTTGGTTCCAAATGACTTGTGGCCAAGATTGATTATGCTGTTTTTGGACCAAAATGAAGTAGGGCTATAAAATAATGACTAGTTGTTTTGCATGACTTGGGAACTGACTAGAAGGGAATTCCCCGCCCCCTCCCCCCAAAGTCTCGAGAAAATATTTCAAGTCTTAGTAAATAAAGACGGGGCCTTCCTTGGTGACTTCTTTGAAGGGGATGATGACCATATGGTGTCCACTCCAGTGTATTTGTCTATCAAACAACAAGACAGAGGCTGTAGTTTTTTCTTCTTTTAAATTTGTAGGGACGGGTCTTGCTGTATTGCCCAAACCGGTCTCAAACTCCTGGCCTCAAGCAGTCCTCCCACCTCAGCCTCCCAAAGTCCTGGGTTGATAGGTGTGAGCCACTGTGCCCGGCTTGCTGCATTTTCTTTTTAATCCTCGCTGTGCATTAGATGTGGGGCCAAGCCTGCTGATGCTAGATAAAGGGCCAGGGTCGCTTATGAGTTGGTGTTTAGTGAAGACCTAATTCAGAGCACAGCAGCAGCAGGCATTACCCTTTTAAAACTCCTGCTGCAGGTCAGCAGCAGCTGTGTCTGGGAGTATGGGGTCAGGACAGAAGAAAGCCTTCCTGAGTAGGGCTTCATCAGCCATTCCCTCGCCTGTGGCCGGCTATTGGCTGGCAGCTCTGGGGGGGGCCATTCTGCATTGATCTGAGACCCCCATCTCAATGCCACACTCCACAACCGTACCAGCCCTTCCTCTGCTGCCCCCACCCAGCACAGACTTTCTAGACCTCCGGCTCTTACCATGCACAGAGCTTGAAGCATCTACACTGACAGCCCTTTCTTTCCCTTTCCTGCCCACAGGAAAATCAACCTATTTTATTTTATTTTATTTGAGATGGAGTATCCCTCTGTCACCCAGGCTGGAGTGCATTGGTGTGATCTTGGTTCACTGCAACCTCCGCCTCCCGGGTTCTAGCTGTTCCCTGCCTCAGCCTCCCTAGTACCTGGGATTACAGGCGCCAGCCACCGTGCCCGGCTGATTTTTGTATTTTTAGTAGAGACAGGGTTTTACCATCTTGGCCAGGCTGGTCTTGAACTCCTGACCTCATGATCCACCTGCCTCGGCCTCCCAAAATGCTGGACAGGCATGAGCCACTGTGCCTGGCCAATCAACGCATTTTCTGCAGGAATGCTAATACAGTGAAGACTGAAACGACAGGAACCTTAAATCCCATTTTAAACTGTTAAATACAAAATCCATTTGAAGGCTAAAGTTTGGGGTACTACAAAGAGCTTGAAAGGTTTGATGCTGGCTGGAAAGAAGTCTGGAAGTGTTTCTTCAAGGGAGCAAAGAAAAGCGCCACCACAGGACATAAAACCCCTCTTTGGAAGGCCTCGTCCAAAGCCTGTAGTTGCCCCCAGAAAATGATGTTTTGGTTCAGATGCCACCAGATGTGTGCGATTGGCAAGACATGAAAAACAGAGGGCAGATCCCAGATGGGCACCGAGTAGAGCACACAGATACGCACAGGAGCCAGGCAGGCCTGGCCGAGGGGAAATGGGACCCGGGAGATGTAGGTACCTGCTGGTGGCTGACAGTGGGCTGTGCAGCGAGGCTTGCACCTGGCTGGGCAAAGTGCTGAACGAATGTGTTCTTGTAGATGCACCTGTGGTCAGAGGCCACAAGGCTGTTCTGGGACCCATTCATTAGAATAGAGTCCTCAAGTCCTAAACTACAGTGTCATCTTCAATGAAAAATGGTTTCTGTGGTCCAGCTGGAGGACACCCGGGTCAGATCAGCATCGAGTCACTGCAGAAAGCCACAGGGATCCTCCGGCAGCTCTGCCTCCATCTTCCCAGTCTGAGAGATGGGGCAAAGTGCTGCTTCTCAAGGGCGTTGAGGATTAATGAGCTGACATTTGAAAACTGCTTGGGAGACGAATTGGAAGTGCTAAGTATTACTATTTCATGTGGAAGTCTGAAAATAACTGCGCCGAAGTGTTCTGATAAATAACTAAATTGAGCTAGTGAGGGGGAAATTTCAGCCATCTAGAGAGTGTTTCTCTTAAATATTTTTCTCTCAAGTGGAAAGGAGTGAGGGGGAGAGAGAGTGAGGGAGAATTTATCCAGGGAGAATTTCTGTGCGTTATGCCGCCCACAAATGGAAGAATATTGAGTCCGCCTCACCAGTCTAGGGGCATCCTGGCTGCCTGCTTTTTAAATTTTTTTTGAGTTTCACTCTTGCCACCCAGGCTAGAATGCAATGGTGTGAGCTCGGCTCACTGCAACCTCTGCCTCCCAGGTTCAAGCGATTCTCCTGCCTCAGCCTCCTTAGTAGCTAGGATTACAGGCATGTGCCATCACACCCAGCTAATTTTTGTATTTTTAGTAGATACGGGGTTTCACCATGTTGGCCAGGCTGGTCTCAAACTCCTGACCTCAGGTGATCTGCGCACTTCGGCCTCCCAAAGTGGGGAGATTACAGGCGTGAGCCACCATGACCGGCCAGTTGCTTGCTTTTTGCTCCTTAACTCCAAACCCAAGGTATTGCCAAGCAAATGCAATCCCCACAACATTAACTCATTTGACCCTACCACGTGGTACCTTCACAAGGCTTTTTCTGCTTTTTCAAAACTTCCTCATCCTTTGAGATCAGTGTCATTCCTGAAGATTTTTGGCCAAATGGCCCTTTCTGCATTCCTTCTGTTGTAGCACCTAATTGTGCCACAGTCCCTCACTGCGTTTGTCCATTGGTTTAAATGTCTGTTTCAGCTTGCCTCTTCACCCGGGACATAGGGGGCAGAAAGGGTGCATTTTCCACGTGTGCAGGACCTGCCATGTATTTGTTGTCAGTTCGTCCTTAATTAGGTTGTTTGTCACACCACTGTTCGGCCCCATGAGGCATCCCCATCTTCTCCTTCCTCTGTTTGGTCCCATAGGACTTTCAGCCTTTTGAGTGGCTGGGTTTTCTTTAGGCCTCTTTTGGGACTGGTATGGGTGGCCCTGGGAGGGGAGGGTGCCTGGGCCCCTGGGACCCTCTTTGATGAAGTGAGATGTTGTGAATAGGAGACTCATCCCCAGAGAGCCCTCTCATTTCTCCCCACCCTGATATTTTATAACAAGATGCTCCTAAGCCCTTGGTTCCACTGGTGTGAGGTCCTAAATAATGCTGCCCTCCTCTGCCTCTCCTCTTGGGATTTTGTTTTGTTTTTGAGACGGAGTTTCCCTCTTGTAGCCCAGGCTGGAGTGCAATGGCACGATCTTGGCTCACTGCAACCTCTACCTCCAGGGTTCAAGCGATTCTCCTGCCTCAGCCTCCCAAGTAGCTGGGATTACAGGTGTGCACCACCACGCCTGGCTAATTTTTGTGTTACTAGTAGAAACGGGTTTCACCATGTTGGTCAGGCTGGTCTCACATTCCTGACCTCAGGTGATCCACCTGCCTTGACCTTCCAAAGTGTTAGGATTACAGGCATGAGCCACTGCACCTGGCCTCCTCTTAGTTTTAAAAGCCATGCAAGTTCTAAAGGCTGCTGGAGCTGGCTGAGGCAGGTGCACTCATCTGGAAACACCTTTGAAAAAATAGGTTTTTGGCACATTTTTGTGTTTCTTTGGCTTTAGTCCATGGCACATAAACTGGGTTTAGGAGCAGGCATTTAAATTCCCAGGGCTGGCTCTGAGCGTCCTTCCCCTGCCTCTCTGCAGGAGCACCTCTCTGGGGGTGGGAAGGAGCTGTGCCTGCCATGTAGCCAGCAAACAGATGCTTCTGTCCCTGGAATCCCCACTTTGGTGACCAAAAACTCCAGGGATGTCGATCAGCCTTGACCCTTTGGAGGAGGTCACCACCGCATCCAGGCAGGGACAGGGCCATTTGTGCTTTTCCACTGATTCCTGTTCTAGCACCAGAGGGGGTCAGCCAGCATGGCGCACCGAGTCCCCACAGCAGGGTCCCAGGTGCTGCCTGAAGGATGGAGACATGGGTCCTGCCCTCAGGGAGTGGAAGCTCTGGCAGGAACATGCAGACATCATAGTGGAACAAAGGAAGGCACATTAATAAATTCAAAACGTGAAGCCAATATAATAAAAGGGAGAGTGGTGATCCACCCACTTAAATATATTGAGCAATCTCTCCCTCCGCTTCCCACCACCCACCCCACGCTTACCCAGGGACAGAGCGGAGGTTCGTTAAGCTGGAATAGTCATCTTTCCTTCCTGCATGCCTTGAGACCGGGGCTCCTCGGCTTTCCAGGCCGTCTGAGCTCAAGTCCTGCGGACTCAGACCGCCTCTCGTTTGCTCCTGGAGTGGGCTGTTGCCCTAGGGAGGCAGGCTTCTCTCGCTTGTGCGGATGCTGTTTCCTGGGGTTTCCAGCTCTGCCTCTGGCCTGCTGTGTAACCGTGGACAGCAGAGGATTAAGCCCCTGACCCCTTGGCCTCAGTTGGCACTGTTAGATATCCTCCCAGTCTGTTTGGCAGCGGGGTGTTGATTTCAGCAAAGACTGAGTGTGGTCTCTCTGACATGACTTGGCCGCCTCCAGTTTCTTTCTGAAAAGCCAGAACCTCACCTTCAGGGTGGAGGCCCAGCCGTTTCATGGTTCACACAGGCCAGGCCCGCGCACACACTGTGCTTCCTGCGGTTTCCCTGCCCTGCTCCTGTGGCTTACATTCCGCTCCACACACACACCTGCTGCCCCAGCACCAGGCCCCTGGTGCCTTTTTGCCTAGAAACCTCCTCCTGCCAGTTCCGCGATGAACTGTAACCCCCAGCTAAGTTAGTGTCATTTTTACCCTGAGTTTTCAGAGCCCTTGAGTGCATGAATGAATAAAAACTGGGCCTTGACAGAGTGCCTGTATGTAAGTGCACAGCTTAGAGCACTGGTCACGTATCCTGTACTGACCTCAAGGACAGGAATCAAGTCTTCCTCATTTAAAAAGTCTTTGTGCCTAATATGGTACATATGAGTTTATTGATTTTTTTTTTTCAAATGAGTAAATGAATTCTAAAGGTAGCACTACTGCCCTGACAAACTTTTTTTTTTTGAGATGGAGTCTCGCTCTGTCGCCCAGGCTGGAGTGCAGTGGCACAATCTCAGTTCACTGAAACCTCCCCCAGGTTAAGCAATTCTCCTGCCTCAGCCTCCCGAGTAGCTGGGATTACAGGCATGTGCCACCATGCCTGGCTAATTTTTTGTATTTTTAGTAGAGACGAGGGTTCACCATGTTGGTCAGGCTGGTCTCGAGCTCCTGACTTTGTGATCCACCCACCTCGGCCTCCCAAAGTGCTGAGATTACAGGTGTGAGCCACCACGACTGGCCCAAACTTCTTTTTAAGTTTAAGAGTTGCCCACTTGCTGAACAGAAGGAACTCATTCAGCCCAGTTGTAGGGCATTAACCGGGCTTAGGGCAATAGCTCTGAAGCTGTTGTCACCTGTTGCCATCTGGCCAGAGCAGCCTCCTCAGGTAAGGGCTGAATCTCTTTTCTACGCAGGGTGGCACAGGGGAGTCTTCACTGGAATAGAGGTTGGCCTCGGTGAGTTAATTTCCTCATTGAACAGAGCTTAGAGGCCACAGAGTCTTAGTTAAGACTTGGTTGTAAATCACAGAAACTATCTCATGCTAGCACAAGCCTGTCTGTGTCTGTTGCCTGGTTTTCCATGCTTCTGCAGCCTTGTGGCAGGACATGGCCACCCCGAATGTGGGCAGTATGGTGGGACAGATAGATGTTCGGGTAAGTGGTCAGTGCGTTGTATCTTTGGTACTGCTTGCTCAGATAAAGCCAGCCTTTCCACTAATGTTAATTTCACTTAGCATCAACATCCTAACTGTAGAAAGAGGGAGGGCCTCAGGCTTGAACAATACTAGATCTTCTGACCAGCTTGCTGAGGCTGTAGTAATAATGGATGGCAGCTGTTTAGTTCTTTATATGTACCAGAATATTGCACATCAATTAGCTTCTTTTTTTTTGAGACAGAGTCTTGCTCTGTCGCCCAATAGTGATGTAGCATGATCTCAGCTCACTGCAGCCTCCGCCCTCTGGGTTCAAACGATTCTCCTGCCTCAGGCTCCTGAGTAGCTGGGATTATAGGTGCCTGCCACCAGGCCCAGCTAATTTTTACATTTTTAGTAGAGATAGGATTTCACTATGTTGACCAGGCTGGTCTCGAACTCCTGACCTCAGGCGATCCACCTGCCTCAGCCTCCCAAAGTGCTGGGATTACAGGCGTGAGCCACCTCGCCTGGCTAAATTAGCTTCTCTTAATGCTTATAACAGCACTTTGAGATAGGTACCAACTTGAAGTGAAGTAACAGAGGCACAGAAAGGTTGAGTAACCTGCCCAATATCACACAGCTGATAAATACTAGAGCCAGAATCCAAGCCCAAGGAGTCTGGCTCTAGAGTTTCTGGCCTCTCCCACAAGTCCGTACTGGTGAGCTGGGAGCTGGGCCTACGTGCTCTGGCATGCACTGTTTGTGGACATGTGGATCATTGGCAGAAGAACTGCAATGCCTTTTCTAAATCTAGAATTCCACAATGTCACCAAGCAGATGGGATTCTGCAAAAGACAGGACTATATGCCCCTGACCACATTTGCCCTTTGATTTTAAGTTGATGGTGGTTGGGGTGGAGGGCTTTGTTACTGCAGCCCCTAAAGGAGCCTCATCCCCGAGGCACTCCCACCTTCTGGTCAGCTCCTTGTGTGGTGATGAGGGCAGTTTCTTGAGTGCCACACAGTTCCTGAGATCTATAGGAGGCAGCTTGACCTTGGAAATTCCTATTGTTCTTTGAAAATCCCTAGTCCTGGAGCTAAAGAAGGAAAAACTGCAGAGCTGATTAGTTGAGGAGCAGTTGAATTAAAAACAACAAAAAAAAGAAATGTAAACGAATTAGATAGAAATCTTCATGGGGTGTCCTTACTGGCAGAGGAGGACCCCTAGAGGAGATTAAGGTTTCTTTCTATTTATTTTTGAGTTCCATTGTAATTGAACCTTAGGCTTGAGAGGGTAAGGATTCCTCACACAGTCTGAATTCAACAGGCATTTGTCTTTGTTAATTTATATAGGGAAGTGTAGGAAATCTGCAGGAACAGGACAGTGGTCCCCATGCTGTTTTGGGGGGTCTTGAGAGTAACAGCACCTGACAGTTTTCCAGCAGCGAAGAGATTTTTTTTCTGCTTCAGAGAGCAAAATACTGTGTGAGTTGTGCAACATGTAGAAATGATTTGAAGAATTAGGGTGCAGCAAATAGTACAGTTTTCGGCAAAGAACTGAAGACTTCATCAAGTGATAAAGTTGGCAAGTGGCGGGAAGGCAGGGGTGGACCAGTGAGACGCAGCACAGGTGTGCTGGGGGGCCTGTCATTCTTGTTTAATTTTCTTTTTCCCTGGTCCCAATTTGAATTGCCAAAATATGTTAGATTACAGTGCATTATTTCATTTGCCTGCTTTGTAATTCCTCTTTACCTCAAACAGATGAAAACATGGCACTAAAGCAAATTGACAGCTCTTGAAATGAGAAAGATCTTTATCCTTCAGAGTGTTGATGTAGAAATAAATGAAAGAAAAACATGCTTGTTGGGTCTTGACGCAGCTTGAATTGATACTTTTTTTTTTTTAAGGGAAGATGTGGGTTTTTCCCTCTCCCTTCTTTTTTCCCCCTTAGGGTGTTGTGTGGCTCAGGGATTAAGTAGGAGGGTGGGTTATTCTGTCCATACTCATCTGCAAAGACCTGAGTCATGATTTGGGCATAAGGAGTAGACCAGAAATTTCCAACCTCAGGGTCAACAGAAGGAACGCCGAGTCCTCAAGTTGACTTCCTTACCTCAACAAATCTATCAGGCACCGTGGCTATCCCACCCCAAACCACATGTGGGCCAGCTAAAACATCAGGTGTGCTTGCTTCACACAGAGCACCCACCGCACCCTGCCCCAGTCACTTCACATGGCCAAAAAGCCCCAGCTGACGATCACGGTGAATATTGATAGATGATTTCCCATACTTCAAAAGTAAGTGCAGTTTGTTTGGTATACGAAATATTCTAAAACATTTAAGATCTATGTTTCAAAACTTAAATGAAAGACAGTTCTGGTGGCTTAAAATAGAAAAATTAGAAACCACTGGATTTGATGCTCTTTTTTATCTGAGGGTTTTTTTTTTTCTTTTTTTTTTTTTTTTGAAGCAGAGTCTTGCTCTGTCACCCAGGCTGGAGCCAGTGGCACTATCTCGGCTCACTGCAACCTCCACCTCCCGGGTTCAAGCAGTTCTCCTGCCTCAACCTCCCAAGTAGCTGGGATTACAGGTGTCTGCCACCATGCCCAGCTAAGTTTTGTATTTTTAGTAGAGATAGGGTTTCATCATGTTGGCCAGGCTGGTTTTGAACTCCTTACCTTAGGTGATCCACCCACCTTGGCCTCCCAAAGTGCTGGGATTACAGGCATGAGCCACTGAATCTTTCCTTAGCTGGGTTTTTTTTCTTTATCCTGCAAAATCTTTCTAAAACTCAATAGTAAGCACTTACGGGACACTTATTTTTGTATTAATCCCTCTAGTGGGCATTAGGCAGGGGATGCGGAGCTGTATATGAAATTTCCTGAGGAGTAGGGAGAGGGAAATTATGGGGGAGTGTGGACCGCCAATTCACGTATTCATGTGACAAAGTAAGATTTCAGAGTTATGTATGTCAGCACCAAATATAAGAAACAGATAAGGAATAGATCTTTCTACTGTATGCCTACCTTATTTACGCCTACTTTACCCAAATCAACAGAAGTGAGGGCATAATTGTTTGTATTATAAACAGATCTGCCATGGGGTTTCTTGAAATAATGAGCCCCCTTGTGGTTTCTTTTTATTATTATTATACATTTTTATTTAAAAATAGTGTAGGACTCACAAGAAGTTGTAAAAATAAGACAAAGAGCTCTTGTGAACCCTTCACCCAGCTTCCCACAATGATAGTATCTCCCATAACCACGGTACTTTGTTAAAGCCGGGAAACCAGTGTTGGTACCTTATCAGTTTTTATGTGTATTTGTGTGTAGCTATTTCAAATTTTACTACATGTAGATTCGAGTAACCATCACTACAGTCAGAATATGTAACAGAACCGTTCCATCATCGCCAAGAAACTTCTGTGTTTCTCCTTAGTAGTCACACCCTGCCCCTACTCCTAACTCCTGGCAGCCACCGATGTGTTCCTCATCACGGTCATTTTGTCATTTTGAGAATGTCATAGAAACAGAGTCATATAGTATGTAATACAGCCTTGATATTGACTTTTTCTCTTCGTATGATTCCTTTGTGATCCCCCTGATCAGTTGTGTACTGGTTGTGTAGTGTACCAGTTGTGTAATAATTGTATTCCATTGTAGGAATGTCATTGAATGGTTTGTCCATTCCCCTTGTGTTTTCAAAAGATGGATTATTTGCGTACGACTCACTGCAGCACAGTACATCAGGCCAGGTACACTGATGACGTTAAACCCCACTCATCCATACTGATTTCACGAATTTGCTGTGATCGATACAAAGTCTGTTATCCAATTATGCAGTCCCCATATATTTGTTGAGCCTCTGTGCGTGCTGGGGCTGGGATGCATTCTGGTAATAGCATAGGGCAGTCATTTGCTTTTCTGCGTGTTGTATCAATAGTTTCTACTTCTCAAGGCTGGGGTGAAGGTTAGTAG